TACATAACTATGTTATTTATCATCATCTACGAGCTCAGCCTCTTAACCTTAATATTTGCGTTGCCTTAGAATTCGTTATTTATAATTACATAGGAGCGGGTCTCGCAGCCATGGAGGCAGATATCTTTGCACTACGGCAGCGCAGAGCCAACAAACTAGTGATTGCGAGATCGCCAAAACGTCACAACGATGTAGAAAAAATAACGGGTATACAGGTGCTGGTCATAAAATTAGAATATCATGAAAAAGTAGATTGATTTCAGTAATTCCATTTAAAAAGTGAAACTTGTATATTATATTCATACATTACATACAAACTCATATATTTCAGATGTTTATTTTGTTTAATTTTGATGATTACAAATGACAACAAATGAAAATCTCAAATTCATCATATCAGAAAATTAGAATATTACTGAAGACCAATAAAAACAAAGGATTTATAGAAATGTTGGCCAACTGAAAAGTATGAACATGAAAAGTATGAGCATGTACAGCACTCAGTATTTAGTTGGGCCTCCTTTGGCCTGTATTACTGCAGCAATGCGGCGGGGCATGGAGTCGATCAGTCTGTGGCACTGCTCAGGTGTTATGATAGCCCAGGTTGCTCTAATAGTGGCTTTTAGCTCTTCTGAATTGTTGGGTCTGGTGTATTGCATCTTCTTCTTCACAATACCCCATAGATTTTCTATGGGGTTAAGGTCAGGAGAGTTTGCTGGCCAATTAAGAACAGGGATACCATGGTCCTTCAACCAGGTACTGGTAGCTTTGGCACTGTGTGCAGGTGCCAAGTCCTGTTGGAAAATGAAATCTGCATCTCCAAAAAGTTGGTCAGCTGCAGGAAGCATGAAGTGCTCTAAAACTTCCTGGTATGTGGCTGCGTTGATCCTGGACCTCAGAAAACACAATGGACCAACACCAGCAGATGACATGGCACCCCAAACCATCACTGACTGTGGAAACTTTACACTGGACTTCAAGCAACGTGGATGAAGTGCCTCTCTTCTTTTCCTCCAGACTCTGGGACCTTGATTTCCAAAGGAAATGCAAAATTTACTTTCATCAGAGAACATGACTTTGGACCACTCACCAGCAGTCCAGTCCTGTTTCTCTTTAGACGCTTCTGACGCTGTCTGTGGTTCAAGAGTGGCTTGACACAAGGAATGCGACAGCAGAAACCCATGTCTTTCATACGTCTGTGTGTGGTGGTTCTTGAAGCACTCACTCCAGCTGCAGTCCACTCTTTGTGAATCTCCCCCACATTTTTGAATGGGTTTTGTTTCACAATCCTCTCCAGGGTGCGGTTATCTCTCTTGCTTGTACACTTTTTTCGACCACATCTTTTCCTTCCCTTCGCCTCTCTATTAATGTGCTTGGACACTGAGCTCTGTGAACAGCCAGCCTCTTTAGCGATGACCTTTTGTGTCTTGCCCTCCTTGTGCAAGGTGTCGATGGTCGTCTTTTGGACAACTGTCAAGTCAGCAGTCTTCCCCATGATTGTGTAGCCTATAGAACTAGACTGAAAGACCATTTAAAGGCTTTTGCAGGTGGTTTGAGTTAATTAGCTGATTAGAGTGTGGCACCAGGGGCCATCAATTTTGAACCTTTTCACAATATTCTAATTTTCTGATATGATGAATTTGAGATTTTCATTTGTTGTCATTTGTAATCATCAAAATTAAACAAAATAAACATCTGAAATATATGAGTTTGTATGTAATGTATGAATATAATATACAAGTTTCACTTTTTAAATGGAATTACTGAAATCAATCTACTTTTTCATGATATTCTAATTTTATGACCAGCACCTGTATTTATTATCTTAAGTCTACATGAAATCTATACCCTACACAGACTAATGAAATACTATCTGTAAAATTATCTATGTAAACAAACCTCATCACTTGAGAAGGTAGGTGATGCGGACGTCGTGGAAGACATTTTGTCCCGTAACGCTCGCCGTACTGTTGGGGGGAGAAGCGGTGGGGGGGAGATGTTCATGTTGCTGCAGTCTGCAGTCTGACCGCTAGATGTCGCTAAAAGTTACACACTGTGGCTTTAAGGCTTTTACTCAAGTAACATTTCAGTCAGTGACTTGGACTTTTACCAAAGTCATATTTTGGAGAGGTACTTATACTTTTACTTGACTCCGTACTCAGTACTTTATACAACCCTGCTTAGAGAAGTCCCAACCATCTTGCTAATTAACGCTAGCTTCCACAAACATTTCCGGTTGTTGTTTGGTATTTTTCTGGTTTGTTTTCATCACCTTTCAGCTGTAGGTGCAACGTCTGACGCAGAAAACCCAAATCAGTCCCAAACAACGCAGGATTTTATTCCTTTTTTTCAGGACTAATTTCCCAGGCTCACCGGTAGCCATGATGTCGCTTGCCGAACTGCTCCGCTCGATTAATACCACAACTACGAAAGCTCCCTGAAGCCAAAATTTTGGCATCATTACAAAACATTTTTTATTTATAATTTTTTTTAAATCACCTGCAACAATAAATATGAATTAATTACATTTTTCTTTTGTTTTTTTCCCCAGGCATAAATCAAAACAAGTACTTGCACTTGTTAAACACTTCATGGATGAAGCTTTTCTTTTCTTCTGATTGCTTTATAAACATATGGTTATATACAGTTGTGTTCGAAATAATAGCAGTGCCTCAACAGCAGCAAGAAAATCACTTGTTTTATTAACATTTCAAACTCTATACCCCAGATAAGTTTCTGGGGGGTAAAATAAAGGTATAGAAAACCAACAAACCCAACAGGACAGCCATGCATACTGTGGATTCTGTGAAATTGAATGATTAACTGAAAAGGGTGTGTTCAAAAAAATAGCAGTGGTGAGTTCAATTAGAGAGGGCATCAATTAGGGAGGGTATTCTGGGAAAAAAGGGTGTTAACAGGTGATCCGTATTTAAGGATCAAGACAACTGGCATGCTGGCTGTGCATTTGTCCTGAAAAAACAAGGAAAATGGGTCGTTCAAGACACTGTTCTGAAGATGAGCGTTTCCTAATAAAAAAATTGATTAAAGAAGGGAAAACATACAAAGAGGTGCAGAAAATCATTGGCTGTTCAGCTAAAATGATCTCAAATGCCCTGAAATGGGAGCAAAAAACTGAAAAACGAGGAAGAAAAAGAAAGACAACCCCTCGAATGGACAGAAGAATAGCCAAACTGGCGAAGACTCAGCCAATGATGGGATCCAAGAGGATCAAGCAAGACCTTCAGTTGACAGTGAGTACTGTGACAATCAGAAGACGTCTTACTGAGGTTAACCTTCCAGCAAGAAGCCCCCGCAAAGTCCCACTGCTGAGAAAAAGACATGTGCAGAAGCGTTTACAATTTGCCAAAGAGCACATTGACTGGCCTGAAAAGAAATGGCATAATATCTTGTGGACAGATGAAAGCAAGATTGTTCTTTTTGGGTCTAAGGGTCACAGGCAGTATGTCAGACGCCCTGCAAACACAGAATTCAAGCCACAGTACTCACTGAAGACCATTAAGCATGGTGGTGCAAGCATCATGATATGGGGATGTTTTTCATACTATGGTGTTGGTCCGATTCACCGCATACAAGGGATCATGGATCAGTTCCAGTACATCAGGATCCTGGAAGAGGTCATGCTGCCATATGCTGAGGAGGAAATGCCTTTGAGGTGGACCTTTCAACAGGATAATGACCCCAAACACACCAGCAAGCGAGCAAAAGCATGGTTCCAGATGAACAAGATTCAACTGATGGAGTGGCCAGCACAATCCCCGGACCTTAATCCCATTGAAAACTTGTGGGCTGACATAAAAAGTGCAGTGCATGAGGCAAAACCAAGAAACGCTGAGGAATTGTGGAATACAGTGCAATTATCCTGGGCTGCAATACCTGTGGAACGATGCCAGAAGTTGGTTGACTCCATGCACCACAGATGTGAAGCAGTCATCAGAAACCGTGGTTTTGCAACAAAATATTAGTTTAGGATACTCAGCTAGGTTCACTTATCAAGAATTTCTTTGTTTGTACAGTACATTTTTGAGTTTCCAAGGAAAGATGGCAACACTGCTATTCTTTTGAACATGCCATTTCTTACTTTATTTGAAATATTATTATTATTATTTAAGTTTTGATGACTTTGCACAATTGTTTTGCTTTGGAATAGAATGTACTGTGTCCCCAATGTATCTGTGTTCATTAAAGTACAATTTCTTTGAAGAATTTTGACATTTACTCATTTTTCTAAAGGCACTGCTATTATTTCGAACACAACTGTATATGGTTATATTTGCAGCAAAACAAGCTAAAGATCTTCTTATTTAGGAATGGTTGACAAACTTTTTGGATTTATGAGATATTTTGTTTTATCTTTGGATCAAAAGCATGAAGGATCCATGCTTTTGTAAAGGTTACCTAAAGCTGTAAACCAATTAGACAAACTGCTGGTTTTTATAAATAAAATAAAAGCATAAGGCTTGTCAAACACAGGATGAATCTCAGCACCTTCTGCAAAGAGGTTGAATTTAAACATTTCTATCAGCGGATTTCTTTCTTTGTGCGCCTCGTTGTCTTCCAACTGGCAGGTTTCCTGTCTCAGCTCGGCTTCAGTAAACTTGAGCTCACGCCGCCCTCCGGGGTTTGATTTAATTTGAAGTAAATGGTTCCAAATCCTGCTGGGTCTGCAGCCTCCTCTCAGCCAATTAAACCAAATAAATAAATAAATAAATGCACATATCAATGTGATATTACTAAAATCCAGGCAACTCCCGTACTAAACTCCCACCAGTCCAAACAGTAGAAGCATGAAGCGATAAAGAGACAGAGGCTGAAAATAGCTTAAGGAACAGGAGGGAATCATCACTTTAAAGCAGCGTCTAGAGGTGAAGGAGGCTTCTGTTGGTTTAAGCTCCTCAGGCATGTTGTCTCTGAGCCAAGAGGCCAGTCACCTGCACTGTCTTAACTAAAGGAATAACACTTCCTCTACCGTTTCTCCACAGGATCCAGGACCTTCACCTCCTTCTCCTGTTCTGGGCCAGAAACCGCTGCAGCTCATCGAGATGAAGGCCAGGGGGCGCTTCGGCTGCGTGTGGAAGGCCCAGCTGCTGAACGAATACGTGGCTGTGAAGATCTTCCCCATTCAGGTATCACTCATCTGGACTGGGCCTAGAAAGGTGAGGAGGGAGCAGAGGAGTGAAGCTAACGCCTGCATCTTCTTTCTCCCCTCCACACACAGGATAAGCTCTCCTGGCAGAACGAGTATGAGATCTACAGCGTGTGCGGCATGAAGCACGAAAATGTGCTCCAGTTCATCGGCGTGGAGAAGAGGAACAACAACCTGGACCTGGAGCTGTGGCTCATCACTGCCTACCATGACAAGGTACGCCGCAGGCATACGGCCATGTTTGGGAAGCCCACATTAGGTTAAGTGTGATTTCCGTCTGCGTCTGTGCTGCGTTCAGGGGCTGCAAGTGCCCGTGTGTTTTTAGGCTTCTTACCGACCGAGTGGAGAGCAATTTCTGTGCGCCTCGCTTGACTCGAGATCTAAACCTGCATTTTTTAACAGGCTTTCTTGCGTGAATAAAGGTATGAAAAATTAAAGGTTTCTTTTCTAGAAGTCATAGTAGAGCTCCAGTGAGACGTTTTAGCCGTCAGAGCGCCACTTAACCCCCCGGAACGTAGCTGCAAGTTGTGATTTTTCGCCTCCTAAGAACTTGTGGACACTTGAGTTTTTTCCGAAGCCCCCATTGCACAGTTTGCCTTCTTCTTCACAGCTGATTTATTCCTTGATATTTGATGCATCCAAGTAGCTTTCTGTGGTTAAGCCTGCATGCAGAGGCTTGTTTTAAATTTCCTGCAAAACTCCCCGAGTTTTAATCCTCTCAGTTAATCAAAACGCGGATATTAAAGACTGGATTCAAAGAGAAGATGACTGATGGTTAATTTGAAGGGGGAAAAACCTGCAACAAGAACATAAAGTCTGAGTGCTTTTTATCCTCAGGCTGAGCTGATCACTTCACTTATAGGGGCCATCTGCCCCCTAGTGGTCAGATCTATCCCTGCATCAATCTTTGCCTAAAAGAAATTATTTGTTTTTACTCTGAAATCTAAGCTAAATTTAGTTTTATTTGTTTTTATTCACAGGATATTGAAGCTCAGTGTATTAAAGTTAATTTATTTTCATGGTATTTAAAAAAAAAATAAACTATCATAAAATATCTTTGCTTATTTATTATATATATTATAAATAGTGAACTAATCTAATTTCCTTCATTTTTTTTTATTTTATCTAATTTATTTATTTTTCATGTATAAATGTAAGTGTTGAAATAAAGTAGCAAACAACAGATTCTATGGGGGTGTGTTTTCAATATTTTTATTTTTATGAGAATTAATTAATTTACTTTCAAAGGATTGAAATATTTATTTAATTTATTTTTACTATTGGTATAATGGTTATTTTCTATCAAAATACTTATTTTATTTATCTTTTTAAAATCTTATTCAATTTATTTGACTTTGCTTTTATTTTTTCTATTTATTTCATTTTTTATGTTGTATTCAAATTTTCTCATTTGTTTTGATAAACTTAATTTTAATCTTTATTTATCTGATTGTTCCTGCAGTTTTCCTTGTTTCTACTTTGATTGATGATTAAAAAAAAAACATATTTGGCTGCAGATGGAAAATTTAAACCTTTTTAGACACCAAGTTTGCAGATTAATTATTTCTGAGCTGAAACAATTAATTGGATTAATCGATTATTAAAATAACTAACTAATTTATTAATTGAATAATCATTAACTGGAGTGTAGAGCTATAAAACATGCATTTAGCTGACAGAGTGACCCACCATGAGTAGCAATCATAATAAAAATGTAAAAAATATATAAATATTTTACATTTAAGATAAAAAAAAAACTCATCTGTGAATATGCTTTATCCAAAATCCCTTAAGTGGAAAAGTCTTGGTTTCCCCTGGTTTAATTTCATAACAACTCTTCTTTAAGGAACCTTTTACTGTTCGATTATTAATCTATTAATTGAAAAAGTAAAAAACAGATTAATCATTTGCAAAATAATCATTAGTTGCAGCCCTACAGGGTATGAACTGATCACTAAACAATGATGATAAGCACAGTTTAAAAGCTGGAATATTCGACCACATAAGCAAACTTTAGGGAGCATCTCCAGATAAAAAACAAGCCAACTTTTTTTTTGCCGGCTCTCTATGATGCCGAGCCTCTTTATAAAGATCTAAATCTCTCTGTTTGCACGTGCAGGGCTCCCTGACGGACTACCTGAAGGCCAACGTGGTTTCCTGGAATGAGCTGTGCCACATCGCCCAGACGGCGGCCCGCGGCCTGGCCTACCTGCACGAAGACATCCCCCTACACAAGGATGGACACAAGCCGTCCATCGCTCACAGGTTCGGCCTTTATCCAGACAATCCCATCCTCTCACGCTCGCTGCAAAACTAGAGACGTGTTTTTAATTGTTCACCTCAGGGACATTAAGAGTAAGAACGTGCTGCTGAAGAATAACCTGACGGCCTGCATCGCCGACTTCGGCCTGGCGCTGAAGTTTGAGGCGGGGAAATCAGGAGACACACACGGACAGGTGGGATTAACTCCGCCTGTGGTTTAATCTGTCCTTCTGCTCAATCTACAATCATTTGACCCATTTCCTTTAATCTGTCAGGTCGGAACCCGCCGTTACATGGCCCCCGAAGTCCTGGAGGGCGCGATCAACTTCCAACGCGACTCCTTCCTGCGAATCGACATGTACGCCTTCGGCCTCGTCCTCTGGGAGCTCGCGTCCCGGTGTACCGCCGCAGACGGTGAGAGCCGACCTCCTCCTGCTTGTCTTGCTGCTGGAGAAGCTGTGTTTGACCTTTGTCCCCCGTTAACAGGCCCCGTGGACGAGTACATGCTCCCCTTCGAGGAGGAGGTGGGCCAGCACCCGTCTCTGGAGGACATGCAGGAAGTGGTCGTCCACAAGAAGCTGCGGCCCTGCCTGAGAGACTGCTGGCAGAAGCACACGGTGAGACATAAAAACAATGAGGTGTCGGCCATTTGTATCTCTGATTGAAGAGGTTTTAACACTTTTTGTGGAAAAGTTCCGCGCTTCTAATGTACGATGTATGACAGGCAGTTGCTTATTTTTTTATATTTACATGGAACCAAACAGAGGAGCATGCTATTGAACTTTTTTAAGTCGTGGCCTTCATATTTAGACGCCTGCTTCTGCTCTGGAACATGTTTTACCTTTGAGATCATTGACTTACATCAGCACCACACTGCGTCCATCTCCAAGGTAGCCTTCGTTTTACCAAACAGCCCTATTAGCAGAGGAGCGGCTGCTCAGCATGTTGCTGCCACCACCGTACCTGAAAGTTGGTCACATGGTCTCAGATTTGGAAACTTTACCCATTTAAAAAGCAAAATTTATATATATGGATTCATAGAGGAAAACATTTAAATATTTTATCCATGGCATAAAATATTGAAATATAAAAAAAAGACATGTCATTTTGTTGATTATTGCTTACAGATAACAAACTCCTACATTCAATGGGAAACACTTAAATATGTTGAAGGTTTAATGGAAGGAAGACATGTTATTTTATATATACACATATATATAAAATAAGTTGAACTTTATTGATCTCACGATGGAGAAATTAACTCTGCATTTAACCCTTCCCCTTTGGGCAGCAGTGGGCTGCCACAACCTCAAAACATTAAAGGAACACTGTGTAATCAGAGTATAGCATCAAGTTAATTAAACTTCTGGGATATTGATTGGGTCAGGTAAGTAGCAGAGGGGGTTGTTAATCAGTTTCAGCTGCTTTGGTGTTAATGAAATTAACAGGTGCATTAGAGGGGCAACAAGGAACGACCATCAAAACAGGAATTGTTTTACAGGTGGAGGCCAATGACATTTTTTCCCCTCCTCATCTTTTCTGACCCTTTTCCACCAGTTTTGCATTTGGCTAGGGTCACTGTCACTACTGTTAGCATGAGTCGCTACCTGGACCCTACAGAGGTTGCACACAGAGTCGAACTCCTCCAGGATGGCACATCAATACCATTGCCAGAAGGTTTGCTGTGTCTCCCAGCACAATCTCAAGAGCATGGAGGAGATTCCAGGAGACAGGCAGTTACTCCAGGAGAGCTGGACAAGGCCGTAGAAGGTCTACAACCCATCAGCAGGACCGGTATCTGCTCCTTTTTGCAAGGAGGAGCACTGCCAGAGCCCTACAAAATGACCCCCAGCAGGCCACTGGTGTTAATGTCTCTGACCAAACAATCAGAAACAGACGGCACGAGGACGGCCTGAGGGCCCGACGTCCTCTAGTGGGTGCTGTGCTCACTGCCCGGGACCATGGAGCTCAATTGGCATCGTTAAGCATGACCGGTTTGGTGGTGGGTCAATGATGGTCTGGGGAGGCATATCCATGGAGGGACGCACAGACCTATACAGGCTAGACAACGGCACCCTGACTGCCATTAGGTATCGGGATGATATCCTTCCACCCATTGTCAGAACATATGCTGGTGCAGTGGGTCCTGGGTTCCTCCTGGTGCATGACAATGCCCGGCCTCATGTGGCGAGAGAATGCAGGCAGTTCCTGGATGATGAAGGAATTGATAGCATTGATTGGTCTGTACGCTTGCCTGACCTAAATCCAGTAGAACACCTCTGGGAAATTATGTTTCCATCCGACGCCGTCAGGTTGCACCTCAGACTGTCCAGGAACTCAGTGATGCCCTGGTCCAGATCTGGGAGGAGATACCCCAGGACGCCATTTGTTGTCTCATTAGGAGCATGCCCTGACGTTGTCAGGCATGTTATACACACACGTGGGGGCTACACAAATGACTGAATACCATTTTGAGTTGCTGCAATGAAAATTCAGCAAAATGGACCAGCCTGCCGCATAATTTTTTCACTTTAATTTTTGGGGTGTCTTTGAATCCAGCCCTCTGTATGTTGATAATTTTCATTTCCATCAAATAATGTGGCATCCTTTTGTTCCTAACACATCACCCAGGCCATATCAGTATAAATAAACAGCAGGATTTATTGCCCCATTGAGATCTGATGTGTTTTCAAAGTGTTCCTTTAATTTCTTTTTTCCTTTAATGTTATTTTATATCAGTGATTGATTTCAGAAAATCTTCTCTGAATTTCTTGTTTTGATTCAGCCAAAGATGTAGGAATGATGATAAATCTTGTTGGACACACAGAACGGCTGCCTGTGAACCCTGCAGATGTCGCTGTGAACTCTGACCCCTGTGTTGTCGTTCGGTCCTGCAGGGTCTGGCCATGCTGTGCGAAACCATCGAGGACTGCTGGGACCACGAGGCCGAGGCCCGCCTGTCCGCCGGCTGCGTCGAGGAGCGCATCGGCCAAATGCAACGCCAGGCCCCCATCATCGGACCCGAGGAGATCGTCACTGTGGTCACCATGGTGACGAACGTTGACCTCCCGCCCAAGGAGTCCAGCTTATGATCGGCCGGTCGACCCAGAGGGGAAACAAACGTCCGACCCTGGTTGGTCGGCTTCCTGTTCCCTCCCCCTTTTTATTTTTTTTTTATGTTGGTCTTTTCTCCTTCTTGGTTCCTCGCCGCATCAAGTCGAGATCCGCCTCATTTTGATACGTGTGCCTGAGGATTTTAATGTTTGGAGGGTTTTTTTTCTCTCTCGCCAGGTGGGACGACGATGCTTGGAGATGGAAAAAAAGAAAGACAAACCCTGGTTTGATCATGTATTGTTTTTATATCCACACACGAGACGAACACGGAGTAATTTCACTGAACTCTCAGCGCATTTTAATGTTTCAAAACAAGAAGAAAGGATAAAAACAAAAAAAGACGAGCGCGTGGCTCCTGAAGCGTTTGCTGTTCTTCTTCTTCTGTGGACGATCGTTCTGCCAACAAAGCAACAGCTTCTGAATGTTTATAGTGTAATGCTGCTGTACATAGTGAATCACGGAGCCGGACCACCTGGTAATCAGCTCATTGTAACGGAGGAGGGGGTCCATTTTCAAACCATAAACCTCCTTCAGCCGGCTATACCTCAGTTCAGACGGACACCGTTGTTCCAATCCTCCCCGCTCACCGCTACGACCCACCAACCGCCAGCTGTCCCTCCCTGCTCCCGTTCATTTGAACTTGTTGGTAGATCCATGAAGTTGTCCCTTTTTAAAGTGGTTTCTTTTCTTGTTGATTAGATGTTTGAGAACTGGATATCTGTTGTTTAATTCTCCTTTTTTTCTTTCTATCGTTTTTCTGAATTAATCTCCAGAAAAACACAGACAAGACAAGCCGCTCAGTATTCGGTTTCCCAGCCTGGCGTGCTGTCAGCTGAGCCAGCTTGCTTCGGATTCAGTCGCACGCATCTTTTATCGTTTCGGGGGTTTTAGTACTATCAAGAGTCTCCGCTGTCTTTTTGATACACCTCAGGAATCTTTGCTACTCGCCACGCCCAGACCCGAAACCGATTCCTCCCTCTCTTCGGCTCGCCGCTCGGCTCATTCAAAAGCCGTTCCTCTTCCATGCTTTCTTCTCAGTCGGCTCCCAGGAAGCGGTGAGTCGAAGCAAGACCAGGAAGAATCCCCCCAGCTTCCCTCCTCCATCCTGGTGCCATTTCTACCTGTCTGTATTAGTTACTCTCGTCGATGTCAGGCCAAACGGATGTACTAGACGTTTTGAGGGACGTTGAACACTGGTGCCGGCATACCTGCAGTCTCTCCTCAAGCTTCGGGGCGGTTTCCAGTGAGGCGGTTTGCAAACATCAAGAGTGAAACATGAGGAAACTTCTCTTAGAGGATCATGCTTTGAGTTTTAATAAAACACTGTTTTGTAACGGTAGAAAAGAGCCAATTTAGTCACTGTAAACAGCTTTAGGTTTTCTTAAACTCATCATGGATATAAATGCCTTTAATTTCCCGTAAGAAAGTATTTATTTAAATTATTTACAATCTACTCATAGCTTGGACAGTGTTTCTAAGTTTTAAAGTCTCCCTCAAACAATTTGACCCTCAATATTACAGCTTCTTTTCATCTGAAAGCCAACGTTTGGTTCATTTTTCAGGCCATGGCAAAGTGGGGACACTTTTACTTACGGAGCCCCTAAAAGGACATGGAGGGAAATAATCATCTTTTGCGAGATCCCGCAAAACTTTTGCAAGATCTCGCAAAAAATAAACTTTTGCGAGATCCCGCAATACTTTTGCGAGATCTCGTAAAACAATTGCGGGATCTCACAAAAGTATTGCGAGATCCTGCAAAAGTATTAAGGGATCTCGCAAAATTATTAAGGGATCTCGCAAAAGTATTAAGGGATCTCGCAAAAAATAAACTTTTGCGAGATCCTGCAATACCTTTGCGAGATCTCGTAAAACAATTGCGGGATCTCACAAAAGTATTGCGAGGTCCTGCAAAAGTATTAAGGGATCTCGCAAAAGTATTAAGGGATCTCGCAAAAGTATTGCGAGATCTCGCAAAAAATAAACTTTTGTGAGATCCTGCAATACCTTTGCGAGATCTCATAAAACAATTGCGGGATCTCACAAAAGTATTGCGAGATCTCGCAAAAAATAAACTTGTGAGATCCTGCAATACCTTTGCGAGATCTCATAAAACAATTGCGGGATCTCACAAAAGTATTGCGAGATCCTGCAATAGTATTAAGGGATCTCGCAAAAGTATTAAGGGATCTCGCCAAAGTATTGCGGGATCTCGCAAAAAATAAACTTTTGCGAGATCCTGCAATACCTTTGCGAGATCTCTTAAAACAATTGCGGGATCTTGCAAAAGTATTGCGAGATCCTGCTAAAGTGTTGCGGGATCTCGCAAAAGTATTGCGGGATCTCGCAAAAGTATTGAAGGATCTCGCAAAAGTAATGCGAGATCTCGCAAAAAATTTACTTTTGCGAGATCCTGCAATACCTTTGCGAGATCTCGTAAAACAATTGCGGGATCTCGCAAAAGTATTGCGAGACCCTGCAATACTTTTGCAAGATCCTGCAATACTTTTGTGAGATCTATTGCGGGATCTCGCAAAAGTTTTGCGTAATCTCGCAAAAGTATTGCGGGATCTTGCAAAAGTATTGCGAGATCCTGCTTAAGTATTGCGGGATCTCACAAAAGTATTGCAGGATCTCGCAAATGTTCTTTTTTTCCCCCTCCATGTCCCTTTAGGGGCTCCGTAAAAACTAATAATCGTCTGTAGGGATTTATTTAAGACTTTCCAAATTTGTATAAACATATTTTTTCATACGCCCCAAATTAAATTAATTTATGTTTGACTTGATGAACTTTTCCCCTGTTAACTAAAAAACTAACGAAGTAGAAACGGTAAGCTTGAGATGCAAACATCTGCACACGCTTTTCTCGCAGCAACAACGCAGCAAACCTGAAGGAAGTCGAAGCCATCACCTTATTTTACACACTGTAGCAAGAGAACGGCATCCGCCGCCTCCTCTCTCTGCCGCTGCCGTAGAAACGCAGCTTTTCATCAACGGTCAGGGATGAGAATCGCTGAAAATGAAACGAAAAACCTCCAGCAGCCCTTCAATAAGCACTACCTCACTCGCAGGGATTTCTTTTTGGGGTAGAAGAGTGGCAAAAAAAACAAAATCAGGAAGAAACGTAAAAAGGCGACAGATAGCTTCCATCAGAAAAAAAAAAATTAAGTTAGAAAGAAGTTTCCTCGTTTTCACTGCCATAGCCCAGAAACCAACATCATAGAGTCGTAAAATGCAAAAAGTCACGCAGTATTTGAGCCAATTTGGATTTTTAACCGCTGTAAAAAAAAAAAAAAAAAACAGAGGAGCAACTGAAACTGCGATCAGGAAACCGACCCCAGCTGATAAACACCATTCAGGGATTCAGTACTATGCTCTTCTAAGTTCTAGCGAGTTTATATGCAACCAGTGCCGCAAACTTTACCCTACGCTTCTGTAGGATCTGCTGCAGGAGTGGCTTTCAATACACAAACACACAAATACCTTGTAGCATTTTAATTTGTGTCCCCTTCTTTCTTTTATTATTTTTTAATCCGTGACCTTACATATTGATATGTCGTATTTATTTTTATTGTTTTGTTTTTCTGGTCTGAGGTTTCGGGGATCAGAGCTCAGGTGCAACTCCAGATAGAGACACGAGGAGTTGGCACGTTTTGCGGATGTTTGTCGTCGTTATTATGGGGTTGTGGGTGGGATCTAATTCAGGAAATATTTTCATTAATTCAAAAAAAACAAAAAAACAATAGATATAAACTATAACATGCTTCTTTCTATTCAGTCTATGGACAAACGACCGAAAATGAATGTTCTACAGACTCCTGGATTCTATATAAATATCTATATATATATATGAATATATATAAAGTGTGTACTTTGATGGATTGAGCCTGGCCCTGTGTAACACTTAGAGGGCCTCGTATTCGGCTGGTGTCGTGTGATTGTGCCCTGTCCTGTAGGAAACGGTAAAAGCAACCCGCCTGGTTGTTCGTTTATGCAACAAACAGAAGTACAGTCAAAAGGAGCAATTCAGTTGATCAAAAAAAAGCTTAATTAAAGCAATCTGGATGAAATAGTTTGCCATTTTGCCAAACAAACCCCTCGGTTTCCCTCAGGTCTTGTTCAATCTGCCACATAAAGGCGTACTAACGGCTTTCTGAGCGGGCAGGCTTTTACCGTTTCCCACGGCGACCTTCCTCCAGCCCAGCACCTCACATTGCTGTGCATATAAACTACCCGTGAAACATTTGTGTCTTGTTGCCTCCCACTATTTTAAGCAGTCTATGACCTGTACAGACATAACTACCCGTTCTCGACTATATACTCTGAGCTGAATCTTTCTAAGTGTGTGTTGAACTTCAGTGTTTCCTCTACATTCACTTTGTGTGTGAAAGTTGCCCTGTTACTATGCTAAACCTTTTCTTTAACATAGCATACGTTTGTGAAGCCATTCAATTGAAAGGAAACAACATTCAGCCTGAGGAGTTCCTCTAGGAGGCTGTTTAGTTACCCTGACTTTTGTTGTCAAAGAGCCATTGCAATACTTCCTAATGTGAAACTACAGTCATCTACCACCAGTATTTCCAGGGTTCCTACACAGGGCAGAAACTTAACTAATAATCTTGTCCGTTTTTCAATAATCTGGATTATTATTGCGTTAAAATGGGTGTTTGAGCCTTTTATCTTGTGAATAAACACAATAAGATGATTAAATGCCTCATTTTAGGGATTATTTTGTCAATATTCTTTTCTTAAGACAAGAAAATAAATTATATTTTAACTACATAATTTAAAACCTGACTATGACTAAATGGTGTTTATAGATAATTTTATTATTTTCATGAGAAACATGAGTTTAGTTCTGATTTTTTTCTCAAATAATCTTAGGAAACCCGTTAAATAAACAGAAGCAGGACAGATCATTTGTTTTAAGATAGTCTAAATCTTAAAAAAAGCAAAAAACAAAAAGAAAATAAGCATACGGCTTTAAAGTAATATAAATTCTGAGATATTTTATCATGACTTGATGGGAAAAAATGTACCATAATTTAATGAAATACTTTTTATAATCTCACCGATTGATTTATACCAGCACGTTCTTATTATAAGTGAATAAAATGTATTTATAAAGCGCTTTTCACAGATAAAAACCACAAATTACTTAAAATGAACACAGTAAAACATATTGGGAAAGAAAAATATACAACAATAAATGTAGTAAAAGTAAGAATCCACTATGGAAAGACTTTATATGCGATATTAAAACTGTAATTAAAAGAAAACAATAAAAAAAATGGGATTCAGATTTCACAACAAAAATTTCTATTTCCTATTTCAGTTTTACTGCTAAGAAAATTCCAGCTTTACTTCTTTTAAAAGGAAATAATCGTAAAACAGGCTCATTATCTTATTTCTAGGTAGAAAGCCGCACTAAAGCCCAGACAATAAATTTACTTTTTTACCATTTCACCTCAAAATATCTGGTAAAAATAGCCTGAAAAGAAAGATGAGTAGGAACCCTGTTTCATTCCAGCCTTGATCTCCTTTTCTTTCCCCCCCTGTCAGGATTTTAGAGGAAACATTGAACCTGGGTGACCACAGAAACACAAACACTACAGCTGTTTTTCATTTCTCCAGCCTCTGGAGCCGCAGCGCTGAGCTGAGATCTGCTGTGACCCACTCTGGCGATGGCGTCTGAGGTTCAGGGTTTTTGATTTCGGTCAAGAAAGGTTAAGAAAGCTGTGACTGTAGATTTCTTGGTGCTGATGAAATAATGTGAAGATAGAAAACATAAAAAGCTGGATTGTTGAGAGGAAGTAGAGAAAAGCGACGTAGGAACCCTGGAAACATCCCAGAGGAAATGACTGATCCCCGATCAGCGCTGTGGCTCTCTGCCAACGTTAGCAGACCATGGTTTTTATCAGCTGAAGTGATCCACATGATGTAAATAAATGTGTTTTTAGATTGTGAACCTTTCTTCTGTCTTTTTGTGTCTCTAATTGATTTGTCTGAAAACTAAAAGTGGAATAAATATTTAGAATAATTTGGTTAAATCAGATTAAACACCCATTTACATGAGCTCCTTTTAACCTTTAATTAAACTTATTTTATACAGATTTACTGTTTAAACATTTCTTATTTTCTTAATCTCACCCTTACATCCAAGCTATTATTTTAATGCATTTGTTTAGTCAGGCTAAAGGGTATAAATAAATCAATTTTTTCATTTATTTTCAAGTGTTTTGCAGAATCAATAACTGATTTTGTTTCCTATTTAATGAGCTTCATGTTCAACCAACACTAATCTGAAAAGTGTGGCCTGCACTGGAAAAAAAATCGAAATAT